AAACATTTTTATGCACTGATTATTTATCAAATTAGTTAAACTAATTCCGGAAGAATGTTGTGGTCACAGTACAAATCCACGAACGCAAAGACTTTAACCTGCTTGAAATAAAGTTCATTTTTCTTTATTTTTATTGAATGACAGAATTAGTAATAATACAAATAAAACTGCACTCTTAAAAGTTTAATTGCCTTAAGTTACGGTCCATTTCAGTTTGTTTTGTCTGTACAGATTTAGTGTGACTGTAATTTACGTAGTTTTAATTATTTTTGGGATAAAAAATTACCTATATTAAAAATTATAGGAATCGATTCAGTAAACGATTCTGAACAAACTACTTTCTCAAAGTGCGTTAAATATGTTACATGTTGTATATGCGGGAGGTGTATGTTCAGTAGTGGACTTTAATAAGCTGTAACGGTATACGGAACGGTGTAGTTCACTTTAACATAAGGAATCTTTTAATATGTATCTGTATTCGCCGCGGTCGAAAATCTTAGAGAAAAATATCGTCACGCTTTCAAGAGTAATTCCCAATAAAATCATTATTAGCATTGCGTCCAAACATTTCTTAGGAATTTTTTCTAAAATCTCTATTTATTTTACAAACCAATTGAAATTTCTGTTTGTAATATCAAAATATCTACCTTTTACTAAGTGCACATAAAAGTATATTTATATAATTATAAAATAAAAGTTTTAAGTTTTCTGTCTGTCTGTCAGTTTGTTCCGGCTAATCTGAGAAATGGCTGGTCCAATTTTGATAGGACTTTAACTTGGAGATAACTGATATTATAAGGAGTAACTTAAGCAAATTTTATGTTAGAAAATGATTTGCGGTAACGCGAAAAAAATAATATTCATGAGTTTTTATAATCAAATCAATCCACGCGGATGAAGTTGCGGGGTAGAGCTAGTAATAATTTTATTCTGATGGTAGCGGTTGTTAAGTATGACGTTGGGACATCAAATACTTCAGTCCCCCCCGTGACCATAGTTGCTGCTCGAAACGTCTATCAATGTAAATGTCTATGGGCCACAGCATCCACTTAACTTCTACTGTGCTAAGCCACCACTGGTAAGAAATAAAATTATCTTGTCCTTAAGCTAAAGCACGGCAAAAGTGGAAAGAAAAGTTAACCCTATTGTTATAATGTATAGTTCAACGTTATAAGTAGAGGTACATCTCCTGTCCGTAGCAGAGGCCAAATAACAAAAGAAATTTTGCTTTTATGACATCTGAAAAGGTCAATTTTATCCTAGTTTATTAGACGTGAGTTTAAGTTCATATTCAAATCACTGTAATACTATATAGACGGCTCGGGCTTACTGAAGTTACATTTTCCCTTCATAAATTGAAAAACAAGAAAGATAATTACATACAATCAATACGTGATTAGATTAATCCATTCGAATTCCCAGCAACGAATTTCTCCGCCTGTTTCGGATGCACAAAATCTTGTATTTGTATGAAGAACTAAATGAGGTTTAAAAGCCTCTGAAAAAATTCTGTGGATGGACTACCAGTGCATATAAAAGTAAGCATCTATTACAACCATCTTATGAAAACATATCGTATATTTACAATGAATTTTGTAAACCTTATTTATAGGAAATCTTCTTTTTGAAAATAATGCTTGTAACTTATTTATTTTTGTATATTAGAGTAGAATAATGCAAATAATAGTTAGTAGTAGAAAGTAAATGTACTTCTTTTTACTTTTTTCTTTAATTAAAGTTCAGAAAAAAGTTGATGTAATATCTTAAAAGGATAATGAGAAATTGACTATAATTAACGTTTTACACAATTGAATACAGCATCTTTTTATATTCCTCTATTTCCGCTATAAGTTACATAATACGTACTATTTCTATGAATTTACGTTTAAAATTTAAATTTAACTATGAGCAAAATTAATTTGTCTTTTTAAAGTTACAGCAGTTAGTTTTATATGGTATTTGGTAAAACTCTGAATTTTAGTTTAATATTCTAACTTTGAAATGGAAGGAACTTTTGATTTTGATCTGGTCAAAATCACGAGTACATAAAAAATAAGGGCATAGTGACTTAGAGTAGACATCAATCTCGAAGTAGTTTAGGATTTTCTTGTAATGGCTAAAGTTGCGGGGATAAGTCTATAATAATCTTCTTTTTAATCTACTATGAATATTTTTTCCACCAGTGTGTGTATACTGTGTGTGTGTGTAACAACCTATGCTGGCCGTACAAAGGGACTAGGTGATGTTTTGTTACCCTCATTCTATAAAAAAGGATTACTTTACTATGTTTGATGACGATTGTAATAGATACCCAGCATATTTTTAATAGCCCCCTATGGCAAATATGTTGTTCAGCTCTTAACTAAAACAGAGTGTAATGATGATGATTAAACCTCTCAAAATTGCTAAATAAAATAGTAAGTTTGTTTGTCACCTTAATTTTATACATGACGATATGATTTTAAAAAACGTAACGATCAAATTATTGCTTTATATTATTTTGATGAGCTTCGTTACATCGGTTTAATATGGACATGCCAATAAATCTCAAAGTTTTTATATTAGATTATCCCGACTTGAGACAATGAGCTTTTGTCGTAAAAATAATATTTTCAAGTGAATGGTAACTACAGTGAATTTTTGTCAAGGTGATGATAATGACGATGATATAACTTATGAATCTTTCGTTGGTCTCCGTAAACACGACCTCATAAAACCTTAACAAACTGAGATAATTTAATGTTAATGTAATGTACAGACTGATGCTGGGTGAAAATTGTTGGATGACGATAGACTTTTGGAAATATTGCAATGAGTTTATTCGTTATATATTATATTATTTATTATTTTTTCTTGTAAATATGGATCTGTGTCTGTAATAAAGGATTATTATTATTATTATTATGGGGTGTATCTATATAGTTTTTTCATCTGGTTGGGATCTATAAATATATAATTATAAATGATAATGAAAAAACAAATACATATAAATATCAATAAAATAAAATAAATACAAAAATACATAAATAAATAAAAGGGAAAGAAACCGGCGGACGATGCGGGCAGTATCAAGGAGCACCGCCTTCTGCATTTGAGCCCGGAGCGGTCCGTCACGGAGTCCCAGTTGCCTCAGATGACCAGAGAGGCTAACTGGGATTAGCCCATTCGCAGACACGACTACGGAAATAATTTCGGTCGGCAGACCACCCCACATTTTGGTCACCTCGTGAGCCAGGTCCAGATATTTTGATTGCTAATCTGTTTCGGCTTTCACGAGGTTCTCGTCATACGGGATGGTAATATCGACCAAAAATATCCTTGACTGTGCCTGGTCCATCAGCACAATATCAGGCTTATTCGCAAGAATAAGTAGTAGTAGTAGTAGTAGTCTGTGATGATGGCCCAGTCCCTGTAGAGCCTGGCGTGGTCATTTTCGAGCACGGCTTCCGGCAAGTACTTGTAATACGGAAATTTCCGGTCCACGATACCGTATTTCAGAGCGAGCTCCTGGTGTAGAATTCTGGCTACTAGGTTGTGTCTGTGCAAGTACTCAGAGTTAGAAAGCGCCGAACAACCGGAGATGACATGCCTAAGTGACTCACCGGGATGGCGACAAGCTCGACAGACGTCGATGGTGCCATCCTTTAGGATGTATCTCCGATAGTTGTTGGTCTTAATAACCTGATCCTGTATTGCACACACAAAACCCTCGGTTTCCCCAAAAAGGTCACCGAAACGTAGCCAGTTGAGGGAGGCGACTGTATCTACGAAGGGCTCATGTAGAACCCTGTAGTTCCTCCCGTGGAGCTCCTTCTCCTTCCATACGGTCTCCCGGTCGAAAATGATTTGTACTGCCGGGTCTTGCCATTGCTCGTTGGCTGAGGATAGAGGGGTAAGTCCTTTATCACTAGAAATGACGTCATTATAGAATGAATCATCCGATCTCACCAGAAAGTAATTACGGAGGCTGCACACTTCGCGATTATGCATGGTGAGCGCGCTCAGGAAGCCACGCGCACCATGCTTTCGCGGCAAGTACAACCTTATTACCGACGATCTCGGATGATGCATCCTATGGGACGTCATGGTAGTGTGGACTTTTCTCTCCAGGGCGTTAAGTTCAGTCTGAGTCCACCTGAGTATGCCAAAGGTATACATGAGGGCATGCATGACCCAGCCGTTATATGCGTGTGCCTTATTCACACTGGACAAAAGGATGTTAAGCACTTTGGTCAAGCGTGCATAAAACGTGTCGCAAACTGACTGTTTCATACCAGCCTCATCGATACCGATGTTCTGTAACATACCCAGGTATCAGTATGTTTCAGCCTCGGAAAGGGTCCTTAAGTTGACGAGCATAGATAAGTCTATGCCCTCAGAGTTAGCAACCCTACCCCTCTCAACATGGAGGACCGCACACTTATCCGGCCCCAGCTCCATTCCAATAGAATTGCTAAATTCACAAGTGATGTTTAGCAATTCCATAAGATGGGAGCGACTGGAGGCGAATAATTTGAGGTCATCCATATAGAAAAGGTGGGTCACTTTTGTACCTCCTTTTCGCGGCTTTCCGCAGCCGTCATCCGCTCTCCTAGATGACAGAGGATCGTACTCTACTGCTCCATACACTGCTCGAGGAAGTCTCGAACTGTACAGTTAATCTTGTACAGCTCGAGTACCCTCTTTAGCCATGTATGGGGCACCGAGTCAAATGCCTTTCTGTAGTCTATCCACGCGGCGAAGAAGTTCCGACGGTTGCGTTTCACCACTTTGCCAATGACCGCGTCAATGAGGAGTGGTTCCTTGGTTCCACAACCGCCGCCCCGACGTCCATTTTGAGCGCGCGACATCACCTGATTTGATTCCAGGTTACGAGTGATTCTCGCGCTCAAAATGGATGTTAATGTCTTGTATATGGTCGGCAGACACGTGATGGGGCGGTATTTGCTCGGGTCTGTGGTAACCTGGTCTTTAGGAACCAAATGCGAGTCCCGGACTTTTCAGTTCGGGGCCCTACGGACCGCCTCAGCTACGTCATCCGGCGTTATAATGACGGGGTCCATGGGCGTTATACTCGCACACTGACTCACCACAACTTCCGTCCAAGGGCCCTCGCTGTGGTTTATGGGCTCTGACCACAGGCCGCGCCAGAATGCTACAGTGTCGGCCTGATTCGGTGCTGGGCCCGTTCCACTTACCATTGGTCGCTCCAACGATTTATAGAGCCTCTTCGTATCACTCTGAAAGAGACGATTCTGGTTAAACCGTGTCGTCCTCTCGGTATATCGCCGAATCCGCTTTCCCCAAGCAGCGATTCTCTGCTTCAGGTCGTCTATGCGCTCCGTCAGTTTTTGCATTATATCCGGCTGGGACAAACTAACATTTGTCCCAGCAAATGCCATCCTGACGGTGCTCACAATCCTTGGCCTGTTGTTGCCTGACCTGAAGCATCGACAGTCTACCGATGAGGGCCCTAGCCTTTGCGATACGTTCTTCAAGTCTTATTCTCCAGGCTGGGATAGCGCTACTTTGTCCAGTAGCGCGTCCAGCCGTGGAAAGTTTGGCGCCTATAATACGTCACACTGCCAGTGCGGCGCCAAAAAGAATTGAGTTCGTCTCGCAAAAGTCCCGGCTGGCTTCCAAATAGGTCACCAGCATTGGGTTCAGAACCCTCACGACAGCCCGATTCCGCTTGCTTAGGGCTATGCGGGGAAGTCGCGGTCGATTTTCGAGAGGCGTACTTCGCGTTTCCACAATTGCCTCTTCCAATGTACTCCTCATATGCTCTAATTCCAGTTCCTAGGCGACTGTTCCATCATCGTTTGAATCAATCACAACTGGGGTATTCACGGCGGCATTCACGTTTGCGGGTTGCTCTGTAATTTGTGGCGCCGCATCCTCAGCCGTAGCATTTTCATCCGATGAGGGAACAGCCTCACGTCGTAGTCGTTCGAGTTCGGCGACATCAAATATATTTGAGCGCAAGATATACCGAACCCGGTCTGCCAGGTTTTGCTCTGAGACGGTTAAAGATGGCTCCAGCGCAGCAAAAAGACGATGCATGCTAGCCCAATACGCCAAACCTCCAACTTCTCCCCCTTTCGCCCTAAAATACGCCCGCAATGCGTTAGTATTCATTTCGGTTGTCCATCGCATGCGGCGTACTCCACCAGTGGCGAGTGCCGATTACTGGGCCCGCGAAGACCCTGCCAACACCAAGCCAGCGGGTGGGGATGATGGATGCGAGGGGCTGATGTGTGGTCGTGCAGCACCTCTCGCTCGGCTGGCGGTTCGCATGCTGTCGCGTCCAGCGCCAGCTCCAGACGCGCCCTGGCGACCTCCAGGCAGCGGCCCTTTGCGCGTTTTTGCATATTCCATCATCCATAAAAGTGGGAGATGCGCGGGAGGTCCCGGCGCCGTTTTATGGTGGGGCCATGTGCACAAGCGGGCCTTTGCGCCTTTAATTTTTGCCGAGGCACGGCACTAACACCTCTTGGCAAGGTGCTGACTGACTGCACTGACTTAGTGGTTTTGTCACATAACCGTTACTATTATTATTAAAACAATAACGTTAAAAATTACAAGAAAACAAACTAGCTTTTTTATATTATATTATCCTATACCTTTAAACAAACAATTATTGATATATATATATATATATATATATATATATATATATATATATATATATATATATATATATATCAGTGGCGAAGCTAGAGCTCCAAGCTAGGGCAAGCCCAAGATAAAAATATAGATTGTTGTTTTTAGCAGTTTTATAAAAATACACCAATCTTGATCTGTCTCCACGCTTCAGTTTCATATTCAGTGCTGTCAAGGACGTGTTTAACAAAGCACACAGAAGGCGTACCACTGCTAGATAGATTGTATTACATATCAGCAATTGCTTAGCTTCGGTGGCTTTGCAGAAAGCCGTTTGGGTTTGTTTAAGCGAAAGAAAAAAAATATTTACATCCAATATACTGCCCTGCTAAGCGCAAAAGCGGTATCTCAAAAAAATACCGAAAATTCGATTTTTATGTCATCGGATAGCTTAAAAAAAATACGCATCTAATGAACTAAGCCTTTTAGCGGTATCTTGTTCAAAACATGTGAAAAAAGCCTTAAGAAATATTTTCCTATCTCAGTTATACCTCAAATCACTAAGAGTATTAGAGGTATATCAATATCACGAAGGCAACTAGCCGTATAATTGAATACCGCCAAATCTCTTAATAAAGAACAACACTTTTTCTAAGCCAAATAGCGGCAAATATGTACAACGAGTAAACTACTGACTTACCGCTATGACGCTTAGTATTACAATGGTTACTTGATCCGCAAATCATTTGGACTACATGAGATACGGCTGCAGTGGCATATAAAATTGGCCCTTATGGTATAAACGATACGATCGGATTTCTAATACATTTTATGGTGATTTATTCGTGTTGTTGACAAAGTCGCGTCATAACTCGTTTGTTTTCGTTGCAATTAGATCGTAATCTTGTAATTACCGTGTTAAATAAGTAAAGAATGGTGAATTAACGTATTTAGTGATGTAATTTTGTGTTTCGCGAGTCAGGTAAGTCCTGTAAACATAATTTTAGTACAATACAATCATACTCAACATTGAAATTTAAGGTTCTTCCAACTTTCGTTCGGCCGGCACTCTCGCCAAACGTACAAAGCGAAACGGAACTTTATTTACTACTCGCTGTCATGTCAATTGATTATACCTATTCCCAAACCTTTTTTATTCAGATTAAGAATTTACCAATTTATGGTGAATGTGTGAAACTTTTTGTTGGAGTAGAGTTACTCTACTTTTCTACTGTAAAGAACACTTTATTGTATACAAGAAAAATACAAAAAAATATCACCTATTATGTCAATAAAATTATTAAATATTTATAAACGAATATTGTTTCAGATAAACGATGTCACAAAGAAATACGAAAATGATGATGCTACTGGCACAAAAAAATAAGGCATTGAGAGAAAAGTTTAAAGAATCAAAATATTTGCAACTTAATATTCAAAATATCGATCCTGACTTTTTCCATAGCAGTGATTCAGATGACGATCTTCCATTTTCAAGATACGATAGTGCAGACCAATCACTGGCTCAGATTAATAATCCGTCAAATTATCTCGAATCTGTAGAATTTAACTTCGTATCGGGCCTATCTACATCAACTGCAGTTGACTATTTAAATCAACCTCAACAAGACCAGAACACAGAAATCGGTATTTCGGGCCCATCCACATCGACAGTTGACTATTTCAATCAGCATCAACACGATCAGAACGCAGAAACCGAGAACAACATTTCCATGAACTCTTTGATTACATTAACGACTGTGCCAATTACTGAATATAATATTTTAACTGAAACATCGTCGCCAGTACTTTGTTCTGATAAAGACAATGGTTGTAATGTAGATAGCGCTAGTACTGGAACTCTGGTCACACAGACTGATCACACACAGACTGGTCAGACAAATGATCAGCAAAGGCCCTGTACTTTTCAAGTTGACACAGACCAAACAATGATAACTGTTTTTGAAAATACGAATTATACTGCTGACCCTCTAACAAATAAATCAAGTGGGTCACATGCTGAACAAGAAAGATCGGTAGAGGATCCATTCCGAGGAAACGAAGTCACAAGGAGTGTTAATCTAAGGGACACTGAAAATCTGACACAAAATGAGAGAACTAATGATAATACACATGATTTTACAACTTATACAAAAGCAGGTACAATTAGAAAAAGAAAAACATACAACCAACCACTCAATGTTAGAAAAGACGCGAAAAAAAATGAGATAAGAGAAAAACATGGCTTACAACCACCCTGTCCAGCTTCTTGCAAAAGGCTATGTATCCAGAATATATCAGAGGATCAACGAAAAATTATAAATGAAAGCTTCTGGAATTTAGGTGATAAAGAAAGGAAGGCATTTATGCTGCATCACACTTCAGCAAAACCTGTGAAACAAAGAACAGTAACAAGATCTGAATCAGAAGACTACAGGAAAAAAACAATCTACAGTTATTCACTTAAAGACGGGAATGGGACATCGTATGGAGTATGTAAAACATTCTTCTTGACAACTTTGGGCTACAAACTATCTAACGATAAACCTTTACAGACTGCTTTGGCCAATTGCAAGGAGACAGTTGCACCGCCAGTAGATAGGAGACTGGGAGCTGCTCCTCATAATAAGATTGACTCAAATCCTATAAAGGAACATATAATGAGCTTCGAGCCTAGTATATCTCATTATAGGCGTGAGCACGCCCCCAATCGCTTATACTTACCCAGTGATTTGACAATTCATGCGATGCACAGAGACTTTTTAGAAAAAAAATCCCTCTCACAGCGTATCTTACGACAAATACCGAGAAGTGATCGCAGCATTAAATATATCTTTCTTGAAGCTTGGCCACGAAGAGTGTGAGGACTGTGAAGAATTCCGTCTGCATGACAATACACACACCAAAGAAAATCTCCAAGAAGGCTGTTTAGGTTGCACAAAGTGGGCAAGTCATAATGAACGGGCAACTATGTCGAGAGCACAATATAAATTAGACAGTGAGCTAAATGAAATTGGTACTGTTGTATATTCTGCCGACTTACAAAAAGTTATCATGCTGCCCAGGATAGACATGTTCAAAACTGCTATTTTCACCCACAGGATAGTTGCTTATAATGAAAGTTTCATGCCCACTGGTCAAGGCAGAAAAGGTTTAAGTGTTTTTCCTGTACTATGGTATGAAGGATTATTTGGACGCTCCAAATCCGAAATCATAAGCGCATACCTCCATTTTGTTATTTTTCATCGAGATAAAAAGAAAATCATACTGTGGGTCGACAATTGTTCGTCACAAAACAAAAATTGGACATTTTTTTCGTTCTTAATTTACGTAGTCAATTCAAATGACATCAACGCCGACAAGATCGTGATCAAATATTTCGAACCAGGCCACACTTTTATGTCTGCCGACAGTTTCCACCACAGGGTGGTTATCTATGAATCGCATGAAAAACAAAATTTATGACTTTGCTGACTTTTCTCAGGCAGTTACTACTGCAGGAAAAATATAAAACCTAAAGAGATGTCTCTACAAGATTTTTATGACTGGGAAGATAACACGACACAGTATAAACTGTCTCGAATTGCACCGCGTCCATATATTAATGAAATGGTCGAAGTAGAGGTCAACAGGGGCAGTTTTGATCTGACATACAGAACTGGATTCAATAAGGACCCTATCACTGCGAGCATAATCGGAAATAAAATTTTAAAAGCTCAAGTTTTGCCACCACCAAAAAGGAAAACTGCTCCGG